TTGGAGCAGAGTCTGGCCCCTTGGCAACTTTCTTTGTGTGCTTGCTCCTAAAACTCTGCTGCAAGGACAGAGAATTCCCCAGGAGCAGTGGGTTGGGTACTGTGTCCAGAGCCTCCTCCCCAGGGTGGTGATGGTGATCAGCTCCCTCTCCTTAGTGATGCAACTCCCTGGGGAATTCTTTGGCAGGAGTTGGTAACAATGGGCACGTTATTTTCCCCTTAGGAATCACAGCCATCTCTCTGCATCCTGGGAAAAGTGGAATTTCTCAGGCTGTATGTATGCTGTGCACAGCTCTCCACCAGGGAGGAGAAAATCACCCATAGGGACATTGGTAGGAGATGTAGGTGTGTCCTCAGCTGCTGTGGGTCAGGGTCATTGCAATGTTTCCCTGACAAAAATGGATTTCCAGGGTTGAGATCCCAACCCAAAAATTTCCATGTTTTAAAATGCTCTTGTTTAAGGGCAGAGTGAACTTTTATTGTCTTTTGTTTGCTTGCTTGAGAGGAAAGTGTGTGGCCAGCTTTGATAGTTCTGTTTTCAAGCTGGAGAAGAAGAAAGCAAACTGCAGAGATGGAGCTCCTGCTTAACTTTGCTCTGGTTATTTGCACTGCCGCAATCAAACCCAGGCTGTGTTTTCCCTGTTGATTCCTTATGGGTTTTATTCAGAGCTGAAGCTGTGACTGAGTTACTCTGGCACTGCAATCTGTGGGTTGGGCACATGCAGAACCTCAGGAATTGCCTTTTCCCCCGTGGAAATCCCTGCTGGCTGCTCTTCCCTGAGCTGTCCATGCGTAGGTGCAGGCAGGGAGAGCAGTGAAAGTCACTTCCCACCTTCCAGTGTGGGCTGGGACATCGTGTCCTGCAGCCCCATCACTGCTCAGCTGGATCAGATTAAACTCAGGACTGCCTTTCGCTGAAAGTGTCATGGCCAATGATTGCAAAGATGATGAGTAGAGGGGTGGTATTTTTATTTTGTTTTTTTCCTCAATAATTTGCTCCCTGGGAGCAGCATGTGATGGGGATTAGCCAAACGGCTGCTGAACCCACTGCTTGCTCTGCCCCTGAGCTTCTGGAGGAGCAGCAGTTCCCACCTGGCTGTTTCCTAGGAAGAGGCAGAGTGGTGCTGTATTCCAGCTGCTGCACAGTGTCATCTAAACAAGGGCTATTGGGGTGTGGATAACAGGGGTGAGGGTGCTGGCAGCCTGGCCCTGGCCAATGTGATGTGTACCCTCCACACCCACTCTCCTGCACAGCTGGAGATGTTCTATTGGTTTTCCAAGTGTTTATTTCTAAAAATCAGGCTGGTTTTTGTCCCTGTGTCACACCAAATGTCCCATTGTGTCCCTGTGGTGTTCAATGAGGCAGCCCAGGCAGGGCCCTCCTGTCCTGGCTCAGGATCCTGCTGGTCCCCGTAGCTGTCACTGCTTGGTTGTCACAGCCACTTCCATTTCTGTGTGCTCAGGGGCATGGTTTCCTCTATTGGAAACAGAGGACCATGATAGTCACACAGACTGTGACCTGGGTTGCAATTAGTAAAGCTAATTAAGGCTGTGCACCTGTGGCACCTTGAGCACTGCAGACCCTCAACAGCACCTCCGTGCCTCATTCTCTGCCTGTGTCTGCTCACCCTGTTCCCCCAGGACTCTTTTCTGTGGTGATGGCTTCCTTCTGGTTTGAATTCTAAGCATTGGAGGAAAAAGCAGCAGCACAGCCTGGTTTGGGGCTCTGCTTGTGTTTGTGTTTTGTCAGAGTCCTGTGGCTTTTGCAGTGGTAGCAGCACTTTTTGGTTTGTGGTTTTTGGTTACCTGTGGTTGCTGTCAAAGTTTGAAGTGAGACTCATAGGTCCTTACTGAGCAAGCTGTGAGACACATCCTTCCAGAGGAGGTGTGTTTATCCACACATAAATACAGCCCTGAGCTCTGTGTGTGCCTCCTGAGGCTGGCATGGCTGGCACTGCTGCTCCCTGCAGCCCTGCTGGGGCCACTCTGTGCAGGGATGGAACTTCACTTTGACTAGGAGAGTAAATTATTGTAACCACAAATGGTGATATTTGGCATTGCTTCCTGAGGCTGGAAGGGAGAGGAGTCCTTGAGGACTCCTGATGAAATTCATTTTGGTGTGTTTCCATGGAAACAAGCTGAGCAGGCAGGGTCTGTGGGGCAGTGCTGTTTGCAGGGATATTCCAGCTTGGAGCATGGCACTGTTCCTTGATCCTTGGTTATGGTGCTGGGGGAGCAGGACAGGCCCTGCAGCTGCCTCTGCCTCCTGCCAGACTCTGGGGTGCAGAGCAGCCTTTGGCAAATGAGTGTTTGTATTGGTGGGGAAACGTTTCCAACAGTTGAAACAAGGGAGAACACAGAGTTATCTCTCCTAGCGTGGGATGGAGCCCCGCTTTTCCACAGCAAATCTTTTCCTGCTGGCTCCTTCCTGTGGTCAAGCCTCTTTCCTGTGGCCATGGCTTATTCCTTTCTCCCCAGCCCCCCTGCCCTGCCTGAGGGATGTCACCACTGTCACCACTGCCATTCAGGTGCCACTGAGGGAAGGGGCAACGTCCCACCGAGTGTGTCTGAGCACTGACACCGATTCTCTGCCTCAGGGCCTGGTGCTGGGCCCTGCAGGGACACAGACCCCGAGTGGGGACATCCTGTGTTCCCATGGTGCCAGTGGTCAATCAGCCCTGTGCTGTGTTGCTGTCACACCCCAGGGCTGTCCCACAGTGCCAGCAGTCACTGATCCCTGTGCTGTGTCCCACTCACACCCCAGGGCTGTGGCAGTGCTGCAGCAGCAGGGATCCTGCCCTGTGCATGCACACAGGAGCTCTGTCAGGAGCCGATGTTCAGCCAAGGCTCTCTACGTGTGGGAGTGGAGTTGTGCTGCTCTGGAGAAGCCTGGTTTCCATTAGGAGCTCCTCCAGAGCCTGCCAAGCACGCAGGGTACGGGCTCACACCCCCCTCCCTCTCTCCCTCCTTCTCTCCTGGGCTGACAGGGACACACAGCACATGGAGACCCTCTGTCCCTGCCAGGTGCCACCCCTGGGACCTGTGTGTGCTGCCGTGCTCACGGGTACACTGGAGCTGTGTGCCTTGTCACCTGCCCCCAGCCAGCACCCATGGAGGGGACAGACTGACAGACAGACAGATGGGGGTGCTGCTGCTTTCAGAGGGGCTCAAGGACACACACTGGGCTGGGAGGGGTGTTGGGAGGGAAGGATTGAAGATCACCTGTGACCAGCAGCAGGGGAGGGGCTGGATGGGGCCACAGCAGCGTCAGGGATGGTGACAGTGACGAGGATTTGCAGGGGATGAACAAAGATTCCCCTGAGTGAGGGCTGAATGAGCCTCCAGCCTGGCCTGAGTGAGCTCTGGGGCACTGAGGGGGAATTATTTGCTGAGGTTTTCCATCAAGTCAATGACATCGTTCTGTGAGAGTTCACCCATTTACGTGCTCCAGCCCCTGGCAGCTGGGGCTAAATAGCGACATTCAGGCCTGAATCTGCCCATTCAGGAGCCAAGGTTTGACCCATCAGGGAGCTGCTGAACGAGGCTTTTGAGGGAGAAGCAGGGACTGCACTCTGAGCCTGCACTGGGGACCCAGCAGTGCCCCCACCCTGCCTGCCCAGGGACCTTGGGGAGGGTCAGGAGCTCCTGACCTGGGGACAGGAAAAGCAGGGCGGTCTGGAGACCTGCCAGAGTCCAGACCACTTGATTTCTTTTCCTCAACATTCAGTTCAATGTTGTCCAATTTTTCTCTCCCCTGATCGTGCCATGATTGCCACCACAGTAGTAAGTTTTATTTTTAAATCAAAAAAACCCATCCATGTACACCAAGTTCCTCTATACAGCAGTCATGGTGCTGGCTTGGCAAAGCAGTGGTGGGAACTGGTTGCCCATAAGGTCTGTGCTGTCACATCTTCCCCACTGGTAATTTCATGAATTTCTGAAAGTCCTGTCTCTGTGCACTGCCACAAAGGAGTCCAGCCTGGAACTGTGCCCACAGCTGGAGTCCCAAATTAGAAGTAGCAATGCAAATCAGAGTCTTACATTATTCCATTGCTTTTCTTTTGTGGCCTGCATGCTCCTCTCTGAGGTCAGGCAAGTGCAGCCTCACTTTCTGTTTGTATCTCAGGAATTGCTGTAGCTTTGTGCAGGGTGATGTGGTCAGTGCAGTGAGTGTGCTGTCCCTGCTGGCCCTGGGTCAGGCTCTGTGCTGGTGTCACTGTCACGTCCCAGGGCCCCTCTGCCAATGCCAGCAGACGCCATCCAGACACGTCCTGCAGCCACACAGGGTGCAAAGAAACAAAGCATCCTTTGGGCCAGAAACTTCTCTGCAAGGTCCAAAAATAATTTGGACTGAGCCACAGGAAACATCAGGCCATTTCTTTGCTTCCAGCCCAGACTGTTCCTCACCAGCAGGAGCAGCAGGTCCCAGGGCCATCTGTGGGTGCCCCTGGCTCAGCTGTGTGCTCTGTGGCACTGTCCTTCCCTCAGGGCCTGCCTGTGTCCATGACCCCACAGAGGAACAGTTATTTTTAGTCTTGCCTTTTCCCTCACATTTATTTTCTGACTCTACAGATTTTTCTCCCATATTATGAAACAATTTCTGTGAACAGTGGCCAGCCTGTTCAACAACCCCTGTGCTCCAAGGAGCTGTGCTGGTGCACACAGAGCCCTGGAGTATCTCCTCAATGTTTTCCTGCAGGGAAGTGTCCCTTCCTGTCTGTGGCTGGACACAAGGCCATTGATCAGTTGTTGTACCGTGTGGTGCATCCATTAGTGCTGCAGAAGCTTTTTCAGAGAGAAAAAACCCAAATCCAATTCTCTCTGCAGCCTCTGAGGGTTATTAATGCTGCAGCATTTTCTGCAGCGCTGAAATTCCCAATGCCTGTGGATTTTCATAACCACCCTCCTCTGGTCTTGTTCCATCAGGATAAATTCCTAGGGCATGCAGCCTCTGTAGAACAATTGCAGAAACCCACATCTGATTGCTCTGTCCTTTTCCAGGGTACTCCTCAGCAGTGCAGAAGTTCTCCCAGACTCTGCAGTCCTTCCAGTTCGACTTCATCGGTGACACACTAACAGATGATGAGATCAATATTGGTGAGTTCTCTGCTTTTTGAAGCTGATTTCCAGCAATTGGAACAGTCTCCCTCTCTAGGAATTAGCCTGCCTGATGGTTTTTAAGCAGCCTCAGGAGCCGGGTTCCAGGCAGCTCTTCCACAGCTTATTTTCTGAAGTTGAGCAGTCACGGGTCGAGTTTCACATTCCCAATTCAGCGGATAATTTGCAGAGGTTTTCCATGGCTCCAGGCCTGCTCTGTGCTGCCAGGTGCTGGGGAGGAGGCAGTGTGGTGCTGACCTCCCAGCCAGCCCCTCTTCCCAGAGCTCTGGGAGCCCAGCTCTGGGTGCTGCTCCCAGAGCTGCCTTCGCTGTGCTGGAACAAACTGCCCCACGCTGCCCTGCAAGGGCACCAGGCTGCAAACTGCTGGGGAAAAGGGCTGCTGGATGTGTCTCAAATGGAAAACAATGGCCGTCTGTGCCCTGGGCAGCCTTGCAGGGCTGCTGCCTGCACATCTGCTTGGGGATTAGTGATCCTGGAGCTGTGTTACATCCCTGCCCTCCCCCAGCTCGCTCTGGGAATCACTCAGCATCCACAGCCCGGGGCCCTTGATGCCCCAAACCCTGCACGTTTCACATGAATCTGCTCTTGGCTTAGCGAGGTGAGTGCACTCTGTGGGGGTGACAGGGGGTGCAGGAGGGACGACAGAGCATCCTCAGCCCCCAAGGTTCTCACCCTGCCCCATCAGACAAAACACTTGGGCCTCCTGCCTGGGCTGAGGAGCTGGGGCTGCCCACGGGCTCACAGGGCATTGCCCAGGCAGGAGAATTCACAGGGCATTCATGGGGTGGGGCACAAGGCACAGGGTCTTTTCCAGGCTGCTCCCAAGGGCTGCACAGAGGGGTAAAAAGGGAAACCAGCTTTTGTCAGGCAGTGGTTGCAGAGTGGCAGCAGTGTGACACTGCTGGTGTCAGATCTCTCAGCTGCTGTCAGAAGGGGAAGGAAGTAGAGCCTGTTCCTTGGGCTGTTGTATTTAAAGCCACGTGAAGCAGACTGCAGCCTGCCCCTCCAAAACTTGTTTCCTTTATGGAAAGTCTCTGGGTGAAACCCACTGGAAATGAGTCAGCCTCCAATTGTAATGGCAGCAGAGGTCTGAGCTTCCAAACACACACGGGTCAGGGAGGGGGGAACTCTGCCATGGAAATGCCCCTCCTGGGAGCTGAGGGGTCTGAGGCAAACAGCCATGCAAGGAAAGGAGTGTTCCTCGTCTTGGCTGGAAGGAACAAAGCTCCAGCAACCAGGCAAGGCTGCTGGGAATGACAGAGGTTGAGTAAAGGGAGTATGGGATGGGGGAGAGCAAGAGAGCAGATGTAAAACTCTCAGTGGTGAAAGGAGCGTGTTTCCCTTCAGTTTTGCTGGGGAGGATTTGTTTTGCTTTTTCAAGAAGAGATCCCCAGCTTCCCTGTGAAGAAGCCTGGGCTGTGTTCTCCTCCCACCCAGGCCCTGGTGTGCCTGCAGGGTTGAGGCTTCCTTATTCCTGACACAGCAGCTTCCATCTGCCAGGGTGCCAGGGGGCTGCGTGGGAGTGCAGAGCTCATTTCATGTGCAGGGCATGGGAGGGAAGCACAGCACTTCCAGGCACTTCTTATGCTCTGCAAGAGAACGTGTTTGGGTTGTAAATAGAGCTAAAGTCACACTGCTCTCTCCTTGTGTGGGCACAGAGCAGCCTGGCACCCGCACGGGTGGCAGCGGGGACACTGCAGGTGGCAGTGAGGACACTGGGCTGATGTTGTCTGTGGTGAGCAGCACTGTCCCCTGGGCATGTGAGAGGTCATGGATGCACCGGTGTTACCCCACAGCTGCAGCTCCTCCACTGTCACCTCACAGGACACAAATCCGCAGCTCCTGCAGAGGTAGAGGGGGCAGTGAAATGGGGGAGGATGTTCTTCCCTTCCAGGCATGGAAACATGGAATCTGTAAGGACCTTCCTGGAATGGTTCTGGCTGCTCAGCAGAGTCACTCTGGCATTTCCAGGTGTCATTTCCCAGGTGTGGCTGGGCAGGCTGTGGCTGCTGGTGGCCCCCCTGCTCCACGCTGCCCTGCATGGGCTGGCAAAGTCTGACCCAGGCCAGGGGCACAGATCCACCCCTGCTGGGCTGGCAGCAGGGTCTGAGCCTTGTGTGTGCTGCAGGGTCACACTCAGTGGGCTGTTCTGTGACTGGAGCCAGGAAACATGTTCCTGGGCTCTTCCTGTAGAGCAAAGGGAAAAACAGCTAGGGAACGTTTTATGCACTGACATATTCCCTGTAAGTTTGGGGCTGGATTTTTTCTCCCTGTGATAATTCTTTTCCTGGCTCAGGCCCCTGGTGTCCATGCACTCCACCATCCTGGGGAGCCACAGTGACAACCACGTGTGGCCCTGGGTGTGAGCACCATGAGCTGTAGGGCCATTGCATTGCTGGGGGCTGGAGCAATCACTGGAGGAGAGCTCAGAAGCTCCTGACTCATCAGGAAGGTCTGTTGTGCCACTGCCAGCTGAGTGCCCGTGTCACCAGGCTGTTTGTTCCCTTCTGTGTCTCAGCAGCTGCAGAATGAATCCTCACACTGGATTTTAGGACAGGTACCTCTCCCAAGGTGCTGCTGTGATTGAGGGGAGAGGACTCTCAGCTTGCACAAGGAGCACAGGAGCACCTTCTCCCTGGCCTGTGGGACAAGCTAATCCTGTGCCTGCACTGCTGTACACCTGCTGTGCCCCCCATGTGCTGCCCTGCCCTGCCCAGCCCAACAGGGAGGGAGGGTCTGAACTGCAGAGCTCTGGGGTCTCACAGAGCCACTCTGGGATGTTTCCACCAGGGCCAGAGGGAGCCTGGCACCCACCACACCTGTCCCACACTGTGCTGAGCAGGCTGGAGCTGTGGGAAACTTTCCCAGCTAACTCCCTGGGGTGATCAGGGTGTTCCCCCAGGCAGCCAGCACACAGCCACAGTGCCTGCATGGGCAGGAGTTTGCCCAGCCTTGCCTGCAGCCCAGAGAGAGGGGAGTTTGGCTTGGCACTGTCAGTGCTCTGCTGCTGAGGGGTTTTCTCCCCTGGGACAAATTCAGCCCCTTCCCAAGTTCTCCTTTGATGGGCAGGGAGAGGGGCTGCAAGTTCCCCCTTGGTGTGGGGTCAGCTGCTCCCACCTAGTCCTTTATCTCCCCAGGCTGAATTATTCTTATTTCAGTTTGTTAATGGAAAGGTTTCGTGCTATTTTTATTGTAGTTGGACTCCAACTGCTTATCAATAAGATCTTTTTGTTTCACTGCTGACATTTTGGGGAGTGGTGTCAGTGTCTGTGACCATGCCTACACCTACTGCCTTTCCTCCTGTGCATGGACTTTGTGCCTCCTGGTGCAGCATGTGATCTTTGTCATTCCAGGCCATTTTCATTTGACACACTTGTCCTGGTCCTGGCAAGCCCCTGCAGCTCTTCCTGGGACAGAGGTGCCAGGTCCATTGTGGTGGTGCCAGGCCAGGCACCCCTGTCCTGCCCAAAGTGGCAGGGCCTGTCCTGCTGCAGGCCCTGGGGATGCCAGTTCTCTTTCTACCTCTCTGGCCTTTCCCTGCATTTGCCCCTTCTCTGCCACCTATATTGCCATCTCTATAACACAGTTCCTAATAAAAGCTAATTAACATCCTCTCACCTTCCCAGGGCCTTCACTCCTTCATTGCCTGGGTGGGAGACCCTCCTGTCCCTTGCATACATAAATACCCCTCAAGGCCAGCCTGCACCTGGTGTTGCCTCGCTCAGTTTCTGCCAAAAGGAGCCACCTCTTCTTGGCTTTTTGTCAGCCTTTAGATGGCCATGCTGGGGGTGCAGCCACATTGGGTTGTCCTGATGTGTGTCACACACTCCAGTGCCACATCCAGTGCCACATCCAGTGCCATGTCCCAGCTCCCCTGACCAGCCTCTTCTTTTCTTACAGCTGAGTCGTTTAAGGAGTTTGCAGAGCTGCTGCAAGAAGTGGAGCTGGAGAGGTCCATGATGGTAAGGAGATGGGAGCTGGGCTCTGTCATTCCTGAATGCCAAATCACAGCCACAGCACCATGTGTCTCTGTGTCAGGCTTCTCATCAGAGGGAAGCTGGGAGCACTGGTAATGTGCTCTGTACTCAACTGTCCATGGGCCCTGAGCATGGGCAGGCACAGCAATGGGTGTGGGGGGCTGTGGCTCCCCCAGGCAGCTCAGGCAGGCACAGATCCCCAGGCCCTGCAGCTGGAGGGGCTGCTCACTGTGGGGAAACCAAGGGTTAAAGAATCAGAAGTGTTTTTGCTCTGTTTTTGCTGGGTGCAGGAAGGCAGATGTCCCTGAGCCCATCAGTGCCGGTCCAGTACAATGCACTGCCATCACCTTCCTGCTGCCATGTGCCCTCAGCCTCTCCAGGCTCCTCCAGAGCCAGTGCTGGCTTCCCATTCCACTCCTAATTCCAGGAAAAACATGAAGGTTAGGCTCGGTGGAGAGCGTGCAGCGTGCCAGGAATGTGCTGCTTGGCTCTGCCTTCCCCTGCCTCGTGCAGCAGCAGGAGCTCCTGCCAGGCTGGGCCAAAGGGGCCATGGGCAGGCAAGGAACTGCAGGAAACCAGGAAAGCACTGAGATATTTCTTTATTATGAATTACATGCCAGGTAGAGTGGCTCCTTTGGCAGTGGGGGCAGCAGTGGAAGGTGTTTCAGGGGTTATGGGCACTGTCCAATTTTCAAAGTTGGGGTTTTTTTCCCTCTACTTGTAGCACCAGTTCTGTTTTCCAGCAGCTCCCTCAGGAGGTTTCACACTTACTGTGTTCATCAGATTTAAATCCCCTGAGGGGCTGTGCTGTGTGGTGTCCTGTCCCCTTCTGTCCCCCTCTCCCTCCTCTGGAGCCTGGGACAGAGCCTGTCAGGGGAGTGGGGATGGGAGCAGAGAGCAGCTGCTCCCAGTGCCAGAATGGAGCTGCAGCCAGTGATACAAACTGGGGTGAGCTCACTTTCATGTGGATTCATGACAAAGGTGGGCAGAGCACCCGGGAAAGGTCTCTGAGACATGAGGCAGGAGTGGAAGGGACACAGGCAGGCTTTCCCTTTTCCCTGGCTGTTCTGAATCTCGAGACAAGGGAACTCCATCCTTTATTTGAGGTGGGGGACACTCCCTGTCACCCACAGGATGTCCCCAAAGCCTCCTGGGATGTGGCTGGGGTTTGCTGTGTGTCACTCATGGGGAAGAGCAGGTACAGATGGTTTAAGTGAATTCACCTACAGAAAGAGAAGAAGTTTCCAGTCAAAAACATTAAAATATCAGAGGTCTTGGCTTCTAGCCCTGTTCAGCCTCTGTTTAGGAGAAAATTGATCAGCACGGTGCAGTTAAAATGCTTTTTCTTTGCACTGTAGGTGCAGAATGCAAGTGATTTGCTGATCAAACCTTTGGAAAATTTCCGGAAGGAGCAGATAGGGTTCACCAAGGTAAGGTTGGTTTGTTTGTTTGTTTTCAGTGTAAGCAGATTTGTTTTCTGTTACTGTCTTTGAATTCAGATTTTTCTCCTGTTGTTGCTAACAAGCAGTTGCTCCACTGCATTCTGACTTCAGGCGCTCACAAACTCCCTGCTCAATGCTGGCTTTCAGCTGCTGGCTGAGGGTTCGTGCTGTGACTTTTAGTCTGATTTTTCAATCTTAAGAGTCTCCAAAATCTTTCCCTGAATTCTCTGGGTTCTCTCCTGGCCTCATTCCAGCACTGCCTCTGTCCTGAGCAAGGAGTGCTTGTTTCAGCCAGGAGAACCTCCTTGCTGCTTCACCCCCTCTCTCCTTTGTTCAGTCAGTGCTATTGAGAAGAAAATACTCTCTGCAGAGCAGTGTGTGGTGGAGTGGGAGGGAGGGAGGGAAGGGAAGGAGGGAAAGCAGGAGAGGCCAGCAGGCAGAACCTGATTATAGTCATAGGGCTTTTGTTATGAAATATTTACATAAAGCATCTAATGAGTCTTTCAGATGGACCAAACTTTTAAAGAAACAAGCTATAAAAAGCAAATTCTGCACATGTGGAGCACAAAAGATCATTTTTCCCTTGTCTGCTATCAAGAAATCCAGGTTCCATGTTCCTCAGTGGCAGCTTAAAATGGGGCTGGCTCAGGCCCAGCTCTGAAATGGAGATGTTTTGGAGAACACTTGAGGCTTGGATTCAGCCCAACCCATCTGGAGGCTTTGACTTTTAATAAATACAGAGTTTGAGGAGAGATACTTGATGGCCCTCCTGCCCTCTGCCATGCCCTGAGGGCTGGTGTGAGGAGCCCTCTGAAGAGCTGCAGCCACGAGCATGGCACAGGTGCTGCCCACGGCCCCTGCCCTCGTGTCCTTCAGGCTGGTTTTGTCCCAGAGAGCCCTGGAGGTGTGTAAGGGCCGCTCTGCCCCCAGCCCAGAGCCTGCTGTGCCCCAAGAGCTGAGCTGGCTGCACCCACAGGCCTGTGCCCATGTCCTGCTCCCTTCCCTGATGGCAGGCACGGGTCTCAGCAGGGCTGGTGCCACTGCCCCAGCACTGACACAGATCCCCCTGGCAGCCTGCAGCCCTTCCTCAGTCCCTGTGCATGGCAGAGCACTCTGTGTGGAAGCACAGGGTGATGACAGTGGCAGGACACTGCTCAGAGCAGCTGGAGAGGTGGCAGAGGGCAGGGGGGTGTTGCAGGGGCTCAGCCATTGGAGTTTGGTTTGGGGTTTTGTTTCTTGTGAGGAGCATGAGCTGCAGAGGTGCCAGGGCACTGTGGTGGGAAGAGAGCTGTGCTGTGGCTCCATGCAGGAGCTCAAAGGACAGCACCTTGTACTGTGCCAGGATCCAGCTGTGCCCATGCTGACAGGGATGCACAGGGAGGTACCCCTGTCCCCAGTGCCACCCCAAAGCTGTGAGAGGGTGTGAGTTTGGGAGTGAGCCCCAGCCACTCCAGCCCCTTTTCCTCAGCTCTGATGCTTCCCTGACAGCAGCCTATGCCACACTGCACCCTGAGGTGTCACCCTGGGCACAGAGCCTTCCTTCACCTGCCAGCCTGCAGGGCATCTCTGGGCCATCCCCAGCCAGCAGCAGGAGGGGGGGAGTACAAACGAGGCTCCTCATTTGTACTGTGTCATATGGGTTCCTCCCATCACTGCTGGGCCTGCCATCACCCCATGGACCCTTTCTGATCTGCACCAGGGGCAGAAGCCCAGGGCAGGCTGTGGAGCAGCCTGGAGACATGACACAGGGAATTTGTGCCCTCTGCTCGGTTTCCGTATTTTGGCAGCGTCGCCTTCTGTGAGATGTTTTCTGTTCCCTGTGCGAGCTGCTGCAGCCAAATAGGAAGAGCCCTTGAATCGAGGCTTTGTGATGGCTCTGGCTGGAGCACAGCCAGTCTGAGCAGCACATCTGAGTCTGCATTCAGCCGGGAGCAGGGGAGTCTCCTCTGTGCTCCACACGGGGCAGCCCCTCCAGCCACTCCCTCCCGCACAGCCCCACGGTCGCTGCTTCTCCTGGGACCTGCTGTCACTGTCAGTGACACTGCACAGGTGAAAGGGACCCCCTGAGCTGACCCATTGCCCAGCTCTGGCACTCATGGCCCAGGGTGAGTTTGGGAAGCAGCTGGTGCACATGGAGGTCCCATCCATTCCTCTCCAAGCCCTGGGGCTCAGCTCCACAATGTGGGGCTGGGACCCTTGGGGAATAAGCTGGCCACACTTACTGAGCTGAGGAGGATTTGAATAGAAAAGTTTAATTCCAGTTTCACTTGGAAGGAGACAGCTTTTTAAAAAAAACCACAAAGCCAACCAAAAAAATCAGAGGGAGAATTTTGTTGGGATGTACTGTAAGGGCAAAAGGAATGCTGAATAGCTGCAGTGTTTGTCAATATTTCTTCCACAGGAGATAAAATATTCCTAAAAGGTCTTAGTTAATTCGGTTATTAATTTCATTAATTATAATTTTAAAAGAAAGGGAGGTTAATAACTTCTACTTGCTTTCATCTCTGGGGGAGCAGGGCCTAAGGAGCATTTGAGAGAAAGCAGTGGGTGAGGGAAAACACCAGGATGAACTGAGTGTGCTTTGACAGAACTGCTCTTTCTATACTTTTTAAAAGTCTGGTTTTGAATTAACTGCAGATGCCTCTTAAAAATGAACTGTTATGATCCTGAATCCACTGCTCTTGCACCCAGACCCCTCAGGTGTGCATGGAGGGAGAGACTCCCAGCAGGAAAAGTGTGTTTGATTCCTTATGGAGAGAAGTGGCCCATGAGTTGGGCTTCTCACCTCCACTCACTCCACCTCTCTGAAAAGGGGAATTTCAGAGGACCCTAATTAGCAACTAATGGTTGAGGGGGAGTTTTGGCAAGTCTGTTTGCCCTTTTCCCCCTGATGAGTAGGACCTGAAGCTGCTGAGGGGCTCCAGTGTCACCCCAGTGCTGGTGGCAGTCGGGGTGCAAGCAGGACCTGGCACACACAGAGCAGCCAGAGCTGCTGCTGCATCACCTGCCTCAGCAGGCAGGCAGTGCAGCCCCATGGTCTGTGCCATTCCTGGGCACAGCAGTGCCTGCCAGAGCTCCCAGCATGGTCTGTGCCATTCCTGGGCACAGCAGTGCCTGCCAGAGCTCCCAGCATGGTCTGTGCCATTCCTGGGCACAGCAGTGCCTGCCAGAGCTCCCAGCATGGGCTGTGCCATTCCTGGGCACAGCAGTGCCTGCCAGAGCTCCCAGCACAGGGGGTTTCAGAGCCCCCTCCTGCCTGCCCTCAGTGGGATCTGCTCGGTGTCTCCCAGTGAGCAACAAAGGGAAGGTGGGTGGTGCCTTTTGGCAAACCTCATTGAAAACGTGGTGCTGCCCTTTGATGAATATTCATGAGGAATTAATTTGTGCTCGTGTTTCCAGATTGTGCTTCAGTCTGGGTGATTTTTTTGTGTTGTTTTTTTTTCTGTCTTGGCTTGCTCTGGTCAGCAGCCAGCACAGAAGGATTTGTAGGTCATCCTTCTGCTGTTCAGTTACATGCTAATTACCAGAATGGGAATGATTGGCCAGCTCCCTCTTAGTGGCCCAAAATGCCACACTGCACGGTGGTCCTGTCACACATGGGTCCATCCTGGACATCATTTCCAGTCCCTTCAATCCCCCGAAAGGGCTCATTGCTCCATGTCCCCATTCCCTTCAATCCCCAGGAAGAGCTCAGTGCTCCCTGTCCCCAGGGTGTCCCTGCCTGCCTGGGCGCTGCCAGAGGAGGAGGCACTCCCAGAGTTGTTCCTGTCTGGCTCCCCAGCTCCTGCTGCAGAAGGAGCTCCCCTGCTCTCCCAGGCTTTTCCTTTCTCTTCACCAGTATTTCCTTGAGCAGAGATGACCCCTCTTCCTCAGAACCCGCCATATCTTCTCTTCCTCAGAACCCACCAGGGAGCTGCCCACAAGCTGGTGACCGAGCTGCAGCCTGGTGGTTTGTGGTCTCCCTGTGGCTGCAGGCTGTGGCCTCCTGTGGCCATGTGTGTGGGCACCACAGCCACACACAGCTCAGGGCCTCCTCCATGGGCTCTTGTGGCCGCGTGCACGGCCACCACAGCCTCCCACAGCAATGTCACCTCCCCTGGGGACAGGCCAGGGGCCACGTGCTCCCAGGCTGCTGCTTCCAGAGGCACATCCCCCTGCCCATGGGCTCTGCCATGCCTGGCCATGGTAGCACCAGGCTCTGGTGGCTCCCTTGCCCTGTGCTTCCCACAGCTCCTGGCTGTGACAGTGTTCACAGGGGTCTGAGGATGAGGGAAGAGACGAGGATCTGACTCCATGTTTCAGAAGGCTTGATTTGTTATTTTATTATATATATTATATTAAAACTATACTAAAAGAATAGAAGAAAAGATTTCATCAGAAGGCTAGCTAAGAATAGAGAAAGAAGGAATGATAACAAAGGCTTGTGTCTTGGACAGAGAGTATGAGACAGCTGCTGTGATTGGCCATTAATTAGAAACAACCACATGAGTCCAATCACAGATGCACCCGTTGCATTCCACAGCAGCAGATAACCATTGTTTACATTTTGTTCTTGAGGCTTCTCAGCTTCTCAGGAGGAAAAATCTTAAGGAAAGGATGTTTCAGAAAATATCATGGCTACACCTGGCACAGGTGAGCAGCCTCTCAGATGGAGAGCAGGAGAGGTTGGTCCCAGCTCTGGCCTGCAGTGTGGCTGTCTTCCCTGGTGGCCTCTGCACAGGGTGGGGACAGCTGAGTCACCCTGGGAGTGCTGCTTGCTGGTGGTGAGAGGTGGGAGAGAACTCCTGGAGTGGCTCCAACCCCATTGCTGCTGCTGAGGAGCAGGGATGGCACCATCCCAGTGCTGCCACCACCACCTCTGCACACCACCTTGCTGGAGACAGTGGAACCCTTGGTTGGGTTTGCAGCTACGTTTCAATGGCAGCACCTGCTTTTCTATCTCAGGACCTGCTGCTGGCACAGCCATCTCCTCTGAGACGTGAGGAGGTGGCATCAGGAGCACTGTGCCCACAGCTCTGCTTCCCTGCACTTCTGTGGCCTTGGGGCTTGGAGGCTCTCTGAGGAAATGGAAACAAGAAAAGTTCCTGGCTGTATAAGACGGGGCATTAATGGCACAGACAGCCCAGGAGTTTGACCTCACAGACTCAGGAACTGCTGCTCCACAAATGCTTTCGCTGCTCTGGGTTTGGATTTGCTGATCAGGGCCTCAGTCATGAGGGTGGTGGTTTGTTTTCAACCTCCTTCCTGGCCTCAGCCCACAGTTGCTGCACTGCTTAAGTTAGGATTCACCCTTGGAGGACTCTCTCTTGCTCTGGATTTGGTGTAGATCTCTCTGTTCTGCTGTGTGAGGCTGCTGACACAGAGTCACAGCACCTGATATTGCAGGGGGTGATTGCAGAGGATGCCCTTCCCTTCAGGTGTCCTGTAATTCCAGGCTCTGCACAGCAGGATATGCAATTGCTGAGGTGAAAAGGTTTGCTGGGCTAAGCCTGCCCTGCTCCAGACACTCACACAGGGGCTGGTGCCACTTCCTCATGGTAACTGTGCTTTCACTGCAGCCATGGCAGGACTCTGGTGGGGAGAGAATCCTCTTCCCTGGAAGGCAGCTGCTAGGAAGGCTTGTTCCTATTATTGGGAGCCACCTGTGCTGAGCCCAGGGGCTTTGGGAGCCCCCAGGCATCCTGCTACAGGGCATCCAGACAGACAGATGGAATAGGCTCTGCAACTGGAACAGGGAAGCAAAACTTCAGGCAGGGGAAGCTGTGGTCACTACTGGATTTGTGAGGAAAGTTCCTAATACCCAGCAGTCTGGCAGAGCCCATCTGCTCTGGCTGTGGCACTGGTGTATGCTTGCTTATCCATGCATTTCTGAGTGGGGGCAACAGCATTTCAGAGCTTTCAGGAGACAGATATTAAAAGATAGCAGTAATTCCCCAGGAAGCTGGAACTGCTTTCCACTTTCTTGACCTTTCAAAAGCCAGACAGAAGATCTGGGCATCCCATACACACCTGCACTGTGTGTACACCAGCTCTCAGCTGCTTGGACCTGGCACTGAGGCTGCTGCCAGGCTGGAATTTCCTGATTTCAGTAATTTAGTTGCCTCCCAGGAATCCCTGATATGTCAGATACCATTTGAAGTGGGTATTTGTCAACCTGGCCCCTACTCTGGTTGTTTTGTGATTGCCAATGTCAGAGTCAGTGCAGGCAGGAGCCAAGAGCCTGGTGCTCAGTCCTGCTGCTCCCTGCCTGCTGTCAGGAGTTCCTTCTTGAATGTCTCTGTTTGCTGCTTTTGTTCATTTGTGCTCTCTTTGCAGCACTGCTGAGGCAGATGAGGATTTCCTGCCTGCCTGTCTACCTGCCAGGCTTCAGCTTTCCTTCTGCTACTCTCAGAAACAAATGATAAACTCTTTAGAACAGAAAGTTGCCAAAACCTAATGAACCTTTTCTTGACCTTGCTGTGCCTCTGACATTGCAGTGTTTGCCCAGTTGTTTCTGGGCTGTGTGAGCAGCATGTCGGGAGGTGGTGAACAGGTTTTTGCTGCATGAGCACATCTTCAGTTTACTGGATATTGAAGAGATTGAGAGAGGGAACAGCACCTCCTCAGTGGGGCTTTTGCCATGATGTTGGCATGAAAAAATACTTCTTGTATTGCTAGACTGGGTCTTGAGATATAATTGCATCCAAGATAGGCAAGGGGCTGTGAATTCAGAGCAAATGAGAACTGGCCTTCTGTTCTCTGCCTGGGTTGACCAAAATTTGTCCATGGGAATACAGAATTGCGCAAAGAATCTCGGTGTTGATGCATGTTCTTATCTGGAAATTGCCAGTAACTGGTTCTGCTTCAACCTCTTTGCATCTACAGGAAAGAAAGAAGAAGTTTGAGAAGGATGGAGAGAAGTTTTACTCTATGCTGGATCGCCACTTGCATTTGTCTTCCAAAAAGAAGGAGTCTCAGTTACAGGAGGTGTGTATGGAATTTTTCTCAGAGTTAGGTCCAGAAGCAACAGCACCAGCTGCTCTAGGTCTTTAAAAAAGGAGAGGAATCATCCCTTAAAATAACTAATTGAAACTGATAATCAATTAAATCTACCCAAAGCCTGAGTTCTCTGTGAGATCAGGGAAATCAAGCTCATAGTTCTCCTGTGTCTGTTGGATGCTGGTTGGTGCTTCAGACATTGTGATTGCTTGTTGTCACCTTGATGGTGAAGGGCAGTGACCAGTGGCAGTGGCACAGCTGGGGACTGGCCACACTTTCACCTGGAGAGGTGCTCTGGCTGAAAAGTAACGAGTTATTTTTCCTTTTGCTGGCCTGGTGTCCTGCCCTGCTGCTGGTGCTTTTGGGTGGCTGTGGAGGCAAGCAGAGGAGGGGGTTCCTTCCAGCTGGTGCTGCTGCAGGCGTGTTGCAGCAAGGAAGGAAAGCCAGCTGGATCTGGTCAGATCTGTCAGACCAGATGTCACATCAACCTACGAGCATCTCTGCAAGGCAGACTGTGTGTGAGCTCATTGTGTGCTCCTGCCACTGCTGCAGCTCCAGAGCTGCTGGTTCTGGGACACAGATGAAGTCAGGCAAGAGGGTGGTGAAGGTGGTCTTGTCAGGAGAAGAGGTTTGTGCTAAAGTAATAAAAGAGCTTTGGGAAAGCCTTTTCCTTGCAGAGTGAGAAGAGGTTTTAGATCCTTGAATGAAAGGGAGCCAGAAAAGGGCAGACTTAAAGGAATATCCAATGTTCCAGCTCACAGCTGGGCTGGACACCAGGCAGGTTTTCAGTGAGGACAGAACCATGTGTGGGCTGACAGACAGAAGTGAGTCAAATATTTTCAAACTACATGTGATGTATTTTCTTTTTCTACCTTTCCCTCTTTCTTCCAGGCTGACCTTCAGGTGGACAAAGAGAGACACAATTTCTTTGAGTCCTCCCTCGAGTATGTGTACCAGATCCAGGAAGTACAAGAAAGCAAGAAATTCAGTATTGTGGAGCCGGTAGGAGCTTCCTTTGCTCTCATGTGTCATTTGCTGATGCTCAGATGTGCTGGCAGGGGATGAGCTGCCAGCTTGGATTAGGTCCTGTGGGGCAGGAGCACTGTGAAGCCCCAGTCCTGTTTCTTCTGGCTGTCTGTGGGTTCTGAGGAACAGGCTGGACACTGTACAGGGCTACAGGTCTTGTTATGATTTATCTTGGCCCCTTGGGTTTGGTGAGTGCTGTCTGTCTGCAGAGGGACAGAGGTGTCACCTGCCTTGCTCACCTGTCCCAGCCTGGCTGAGTGCAGGGACACTCTGCCCTGGGTGGTGGCTCTGCCCCAGTGCCAGCTGCAGTGGGGTGTGGGATCCTGTACAGATCTGCTCTGGGTCTCCCTGCAGGGTCTTTCATTCTGGCTGTTTTATTCAGACAGATGTGTGGCTGGTAGCTTGAGCTTTAGGGACACTGTGGTGGATAAGCCATACCAAGGCTGGCATTTCAAAGTTGTGAAGAAAAAATAATTGCATATGTAATTTCTGAAACCCCACACTCTGTCCATCTTTCCTTCCATTATAAACACAGAAGTTCAGTGTGTCCCTTCCCTCCACTGCAGGTGCTGGCATTTCTCCACAGCCTCTTCACTTACAACAACCTGACAGTGGAGCTGACACAGGATTTCCTCCCATACAAGCAGCAGCTCCAGCTCAGCCTGCAGAACGTGAGTCCCTGCCCAGCTGAAGGACTTTTCTGTGTGACTTCTGTTCTCATTTGTATTTACACACCTCTGATGGCAAGGTCTTTCCACCCAAGCAGTCTGGCCATGTTTGCATTGTTGCAGATACAGATATTTCCTTCTCAGTTCACGTGGGTTTTCCCCTCTTTTCATGGGACAGTTCACAGGTCTATGAAATTGTTTTCTCTGGAAGGGGCTACTGCAGTTGCATCATTTAACCTGGTGCATAAACAAGCCTGAGATTTTCTTTCAATCAAGAGATTGAAATTGTACTCTAAGAAGGCCTCTAACCTTGATCTTAATGGTGCTGGCTTCCTGCAGGCTTGCTGCATGCTTTGGTAAGCTCCTCTGCTGGCCAAGTGTGCTCATGGGGTAAAATATCTGAGTCCTGTTTTTTTTTATATTCAGTCTTTCCTGACTGGCCTTCATTTCTGTGGAACAACAGCCGTAAATCTGAGCCAGGATGGTTTTGCTGCTGGCTCATTAATTGGTCCAAGTAGTATTCCATCCAAATGCCTGGATTTTGTACCCCCTGTTGGTGTGACTCTTTCATGCAAAGCACTGTAGCATGATCAACACCTTTGGGAGGAGAGCACACCTGTTACCCAAGCAATGGTGTGAATGGGAGCTCCTCTGCTCCAGCCAGCCTTGAAATGTGCTAAAGTTCCGTAATTAAGGGAACAAGTGGCCTCCCAGCTGTGGCCCTCAGCATCATCTCTGCACACGAAGTGTCTCTTCAGTCATCCCTTAGAGCTCAGTGGTTCTTATAGCCACTTTCCATGTGGATTTGTGGAGTGGTTTCCATGTTTTGTACCTTGGGAATGGATTCATTTCTGCAACAGCACCTCAGATTTATCCAGGAATAAATAACCTGCAGCTCACTTTTTGCTCATGTTCAAATATGCTTCTGTTTGTTTTCTGTTCCCAGACAAGGAATCACTTTTCCAGCACACGGGAGGAGCTGGAAGATCTGAAGAAGAGGATGAAGGAAGCACCCCTAACCTGCAAGCTGCCTGGGCAGCCCACCATCGAGGGCTACCTGTACACTCAGGAGAAATGTAATGGCTCTGGGATGCAGCTGGGTGTAACAGGGAATGGGGCTGCCCTGACATAACCCCCTGCTGCACTGGGTGTCACCACAGCCAGGCACAGCAAGCCCAGGGTGTCACCTTCTGCCACTGCCTGAGGTGTCACTGCCTGCAGTGCCTGGAAGCACTGGCAGCCTCAGCTGGCAGCACTGTCAGCAGTGGCACAGAGCTCTGTCCAAGTGACATATCTGTGACAGCACAGGGATAATTGCCCTGCACTCTGTTGACATGGGATTTATGACTCCAGAGCCTGGAGCTCTGGCAGGCTCTGTCTTGGCTGTGTTTTACCAGGATGAATCTGGTGTCCTGCCCAGCCTCCCTCTGGCAGCCTCTGCGAGCAGCTGAGCACAGCCAAGGTGGAACCAGAGCTGAGTTCAGCTGCTCAGAGCAAAACTTCTCAGAGCAGAAGAAAATCAGACCAAATACAGTGTTTTCCAAAACCTGGCTGCAGGTCTCCATGGCCACGCAGCAGGAATGCTCAGGGGACATAAGTCTGTGCAAAACTGTGACCTCTGAGGCTACAGACAACTTTGTAAGCATTCATTCTTAATCCTACGTAGAAATCTATTTATACATATATTTTTATATCTGTTTATCTTGCTTTTAAAAGAAAGCACACTCAGTAATTTTAGATCCTAAATGTGGCATGTTCCTGCAGGCCAGTGGCTATTTTCTGTCTCTATTTATGCTTCCCTCTAAATCAAGTATGAAAAGTTGTTCTTCCTGACAACTGCAACTTAATTACAGAAAAAGTACCAATTGAATTATTTCCTATAAACAGATTCAGGTAAGAAAACAGAGGAAAGTGACTATGAATCTGGAAATAGGAACTTCAGAGTATTTCAAAGCTGCTGTTGTCTTCATTATTGAGTTTTCACCCACAGGAAAAAGCAGTGGGGTTTGTGGAACAGACATTCAGGACATGTAGGATCCTGCCAGTGTAGGTCTTGGCTGGGCTTGGCCAAACCAGCCTGGCTTGTGGTCAGAGTCCCACAAACGCCCTTTCACCAGCTGTGAGCTGGGAGGGTGCTGGAGGCAGCTGCTGCCCTGTGCTCCTCTCCTCCTCCCCTCCTCCTGTTTCTCCTCTCCTCCTGCTTCTCTCTTCCTCCTCCTCTCCTCCTGGCTCTTGCCCATGGAGACACCTGCAAGGCTGATGTCCCCAGGGCTGTCAGTGTCCCCAGAGAAGGGAGGACACGTGGGCAGCACTGACCATGCCTTGCTGGCTGCACCCAGCCACAGCCCTGTCCCTGATTCCAGCCTCTCCTGTGTCCTGCAGGGGCTCTGGGCATCTCCTGGGTGAAGTATTACTGCCAGTATGAAAAAGAGGCCAAAACCTTACGGATGACACCCATAGACCAGAAGCCTGGAGCTAAGCAGGTGAGTTGGATGTCTGCAAACATTGGCCCAACCACTGGGCCCACCTTCCACCCATGTATGGCCTCCCTTCCTGTGACAGCCAGCCCTGCAGGTGCCACAGAGCAGAGCAGTGGGCTCTGTGCCCTCCCTGCCCACTCAGGGCAGTTTGGTGTCACCTGGAAGAGGCACCCCTGTGAGGAGAGGTCTCACTCCACTGTGTCCTTGGGAGCCCTGCAGGGTTTGGGAGCAGATGTGGGTCCTGTGACATGAGAGACACCAGACAGTGCTGGTCCATGAGTTCAGCCTGGGGTGAAACTTGTGCTTCTCTGGGCCAGCTGATGTTGATCCTTCCCCACAAAAACTGTGGCAGCCACTGAAGGGCCTGAATGACTCAAGTTACTACAGGAGTTCCTGCTTCCAAATGCAGCATTTCCTTACAGCACCGTGTGCTCACAGCACTGGTTTGTGGTTTGATTTCTGCTCTCAGCACTGGTTCTGTGGGACTGGGACAGTGTGGGAAGAGAAGAGGGGTAACAGTGCAGCTCCAAACTGCACTAAGGCAGCAATTCGGGTAACTGCTTCTTTCACAAAGTGCTTTGGCTTACCAAAGCCTGGGAGTTCCCTCAGTTCTCCTCGTGACAAGGGAGGGCTGGGAGGATGGAGCTCAGCCAGTGCCTCCAGCTGAGTCCCCCGCCCTGCTCTGCCATGGAGTGGTCCCCGGGGCCTTCCCAGCCAGGCCTGTGTGCTCCAGTGTGTGAGCTCATGCTCTCCTTTTGGCAGGGCTCTGCACACTGCAGCAGGAAAATAAAATAGATGTTTTGCAACCCCTTGGCAGAGAGCTGGGCAAAGAAATAGCCAAACTATTGTATGGAGAGATTTGTTGTCATTTTTGCTATAAGCATGTCTAGTAAGGCCCATTACTGCAGGAAGGGGCTGGGAAAACTTAGTGCCTTTCCCAAATATTGGTGGCCTGCACCATCAGGTCACAGCTGGCCACAAACCCACAATCAAGTTATAAATTAATCTGCTGTGGAGTGCAGGGACACAAACACCCAGGGCCAGAGCTGAGCCTCTCCAGAGCATGTCTGCTCTGTCTGGGGTGAGGAAATGTACCTCCCTGTGCCCCACATGTTTGTGTAAAGCCATTTGGTTCATTGGTGCTGTGGGTAACTGGTACTGATGGCCAGCCCTGGTAAAAATTAGAGCCCAGCTGTGTCAGGGCATGGGTGAGCATGGTCCTGGCCTCAGAGACAGGGAATGCCTCTCTGGGTTGGTTGGAGCAGTGTTCTAGCACTGCAGGGGCAGGGTGCTGCTGTGTGGGGTAGTGCTGTTGAGTCCAGAACATTCTCTGGCTGAGAGCAAGCCTGGAACTCAGAGCCTCATTGGCCTGAGTTGGGCTCTTAGCAGGGCTAAGAGATGTTTGAGCTTGATGTTGTTGTTGCTCAGAGCAGACAGAGTCAGTATAAACAACCTGCTGAAAATGCTGGGATCCCATAGGATTGCCCAGCTCAGTGGAGGAAGCCCTGTGCTCATTTTCTTCAGCACATCAAGCTGGATTGGTTTTGCTTTTTAATCCTAGTGATGTAGATAAGCAGAAATTACACAGACGATGGTGGGAGAGCCACCTGTGCCCTGGTACCAATGCCATTGGAATATCAGCACAGGAGCCATGGGCAGTGCTGTGCTGGCCTGCAGCTGAAGGGCCTGAGGAACCCAAACTCTCCCATGTTTCTGTCCTCTCACCTTGCCTTTCATGTTCTCTCCTAGGGCACCTTGGACCTAACCGTGAAATCCTGCGTAAGGAGAAAGACTGACTCCATAGACAAAAGGTTTTGTTTTGACATTGAAACTAATGAAAGGTGAGAGGCTTTTTGTCTGGTGGCCCCAAACCCCATGGGCCTGCAGCCAATCCCTCTTTGCTGTCTATTAAAACCAACTTTTCTTCCTTTCCCTGCCTGTCCCTGGGGGAATTGTGCCCAGGTCCGGGACCATCACGCTGCAGGCGCTGTCGGAAGCCAACCGGAGGCTGTGGATGGAGGCCATGGACGGGAAGGAGCCGGTGAGTGTCCCTGGAGCCGTCCCCAGCCGGAATGCGCTGCCCAGCAGTGTCCTCTGCCGGCGGCTGCTGCTCGGGATCGCTGCTGCACCTTCACCACGGGCTCCCTGCCCTGCCCTCAGCTCCCGCTGGGGATTTTGGGCTTCCCCCCGAAATCTCGGGGTGTTCCCTGCTGTGCCAGACCCCAGCCTTTCCGGGCTGCTTCACTCCTGCTCCTCACTGCCTGCTGGAGATGATTGGCCTGTCCCTGATCTTAGCAGCCTTTAGCTCTTTTCAAAGGTGTCACTGCCCACTCTGCACCCGTGTTCTCCCACCTTTCTGTGCCTATTGGTGCCCCTTCAGTCTGAGCAGAGCTCAGAGCCCTGTGGTTTGCCTACAGAACAGAGAATTTCCCCAGCAATAGGTGCCCCACTGAAACAGGGAGGCAGCAGAAACTCCTTGATTGTGCAGATAATGGGTTCTTGCCTAATTATAAAATGAGATTTCTATGGGACATTGTCTTTTTGGCTGTGATTGCCTCTGGGTAATCTGGGGATGATTTATGGGATGCTGCATTTTCTTTTAGAAATAAATACCAAATCATGCTGATGATGTTTTTGCTTCTCCCTCCCCCATTCCCGCCCTTTTTTCAGATTTATCACAGTCCCATCACGAAGCAAGAAGAAAGTGAGTCACTTCTGTTGCTGTTCTCTGGGCTCTCACAGCCTCGAGGCCAGGCAGAATTTTCCTTGCAGATACACTCATCCTCAAATCCTGCTGAGTAGCACTGTCCCCGCTCCGTGACAGCAGTGTCACTGCTGTTCTCACACCACAGTGCCTGGCACTGAGCCCAGATGAGAACGAGTTGCGCAGAACTGCAGTGAGCAGTTTTTATTTAGCCAGGAGCAGTGGGATGTGAGGTTCAGTTTGCACCTCCAAACCCCAGGGAGAGATTCTGAGGATGTGTCCCTTAACAAAGGTTGTAACAGGGCAATGGAGGTGGCACTGAGTTCCCTGGATCTTCCACCCACCACCATGTCCTGTGTCCCCCCTGTCAGCAGTGGGGTGCACCCTGCAGAGCCCTGGAACCCCTCTGGGGCTCTGTCAGCTGGGTGAAACCTGCATTCTGTCCCACAGCTCACTTCATCAGCACTGTAGCTAGCTGGGTCTAATGAGCACAGGGGGAGCATTCCCAGAGGCATGAGCACAACCCTGCTGTGTGGCCGTGTTCACATCACAGGCTGGGAGGAATGTAAATTAGGGTTCCACTGAATAAACATTCTCTATTTGCCATAGATTAAAGCTGGTAGGAATTCCAGTGGTATCATAGCCCTCAGTGTCAAGCACCAGGTGGTTCTGTGCTTATTCCTAGGGCAGGGCTAAGAGATGTCCGAGCTTGATGTTGTTGTTGCTCAGAGCAGACAGAATCAGTATAAACAACCTGCTGAAAATGCAGGGATCCCATAGGATTGCCTAGCTCAGTGGAGGAAGCCCTGTGCTCATTTTCCTCAGCACATCAAGCTGGATTGGTTTTGCTTTTTAATCCTAGTGATGTAGATAAGCAGAAATTACACAGTCCCATGATGAGGAATAACTTTAACTACAGATTTTGCTCTGGAGAGTATTATTTAAGTCTTTATCAGATACAATAATAATAATAATAATAATAATAATAATAATAAAAGTATTAGTATTAGTATTAGTATTAGTATTAGTATTATATACCTGATTATTAAAGACAAAGAGGGGGTAGGGAGCAGTGCTGCAACTCAAAATAAATTTGAGGAAAAAGGGGAGAATATGTGGAACTGATAACTCCTTGTTAGGATGTCCAGAGCACTGGTGTTTCCTGAGGGGGTGTGGGTGCAGCTGTGAGCACTCTGTGCTGGAGCACTGAGGCTCTGGGTGCTGAGAAAGGCTGGGGGTGGGCTGGGGGGTCCCAGGGGTCTCCAGGAGGGCTCAGGCAGCTAACACAGCTCTCTTGTCCCAAACAGTGGAGCTGAACGAGGTGGGCTTCAAGTTTGTTCGGAAGTGCATCAATGCAGTGGAGACCAAAGGTGAGGAGCTCACCCAGCCTGGCCGTGCTTCCCATGACCTTGATCACACCATGGTTCCTGCAGTACAGGGTTGGCCACTGGCACAGGACTGCAGCTTTCAGCTGAGGAATGTGTGCTCTTCAGTTAAATGCATGTTCTTTGGGAGCAGAAATCCCACCTGCTTTGGAATGTTGTACCAAGGCTGTTTGGGTTGAACTTCCACCTTTATGCTGTTTTCACTCATGGTTTTCTCAGTTTTGGCCCTGAGCACACCCAGTGCTGGGCAGGAGAGCAGCTCTGGCAGCAGGGGTGGCTACAGACTGCTTCAGCCCCAGTCTGTGAAGCAGCAGCAGCAGGTGGAAGGGTGGCAGCTCATCCTCTGGGCTGTCACATACCATCCAGCACCAGTGAACACCACCAGTGTGGGACAGCAGCCTGGATTTATCTGCAGATGTGGGGCTGGGGCTGCTGGAGCTGTGGCAGCGAGGGCCCACTGGAGTGGTAAGCAGTGGGGGCATAAAGACCCTGCTGGCAGAGCTAGGAGAGAGAGTGATTCTGCCTGTCCCTGCACTGGCCAGTGTTTTTAATGCCTTTGTCTTCTGTAGGGGTTTGAGCAAATCCATGGTAAAGAAATGGGATGTGTGGGCTGGTGTGTCCCACACCCTGGCTATGCTCACCTGGCTGTGACATGGTGACCACGGTGGTGCTGGTGGCCTTGGCTGCTGGGGTGAGCAGAGCCCCTGCCTGCAGAGCCCAGGGAGTGGGACGGGGTTTGGGATATGGGACAGAACCTGGAGTGTGGGACAGAACCTGGGATAATGGGACAGAAGCCAGGATACGGGACAGAACTCGGGTAATGGGAAAAGACCCGGGATATGGGACATAACCCGGGATAAGGGACAGAAGCTGGGGTGTGAGACAGAGCCCAGCAGCAGGAGAACGTTTCCACTAGATGGGGCTTGTGGATCACCAGCAGGAAACCTCGGCTAATGCTCTTGGCTTTGTCCTCTCAGGAATCACCACAGAGGGCGTGTACCGGACTGTTGGCAGCAACATCCAGGTGCAGAAGTTACTGAATGCTTTTTTTGGTAAGAATTGATTATTCTGTGCAATGACACTGTCCTGTTCTTGAATTGTTTGTGAGGGACAGAGTCCAGCATGGGTTTTGGTGCCTGTGGCCCCTCTGAGGCTCATCTTCCCTTTCTCTCCTGGGATAACACCATGAACTGGACTGGGAGGGTGACTTTTGCAGGGAGCCCTCCGGCCTGGTGTAAGGTTTGTTTCTGGGAGGATGGGGACACCCCACTGTGTGCAGTGTGTACCATAGGGAGCCAATGTATGTTAAGAAGCCAGTGGATCCATTCCTGCTGTGAGCCTTCCTGTGGCTGGATCTGTCTGTCACACAAACTTGGCAAATGGGGAAGTGTTTACAGTCTTAGCAGGTTTAGGGGCTCAGCAGCACTGCTTTGTACCAAGACAGCCCTTCTGGGCTGGGCCCTGGCTGAGGCCATCGTCCCCTCACCTCGTGGTCACCTGTGAGCCTCTTGGGGACCCTCTGGGGCTGATCCCCACCTACCAAGGCCAAACCTTTCTCCCCAGCCCTGCCTGGGGCTGGAGCACAGGGCAGGGATTGAGCTCACCTCCCTCAGGCGTGCCTCGGGCTCAAGCCAGCTCAGACATCTGATATTAATGCAGCATTCAAAGGCTTTGGCTGTTTCCTATTGCTTCTACTCTGGATGTTGTTTATTAAAACCTTAGTTCGTACTGGTGTCTGGCTATGCCCAGTTCTCACAGAGCCATGGCTTCGGGCATCTGCCCAGCTCTGCTGGCCCATGACTCATTGCTAAGCCTCAGGTTTTATTGCTGCTTGATTCTCACCCTCCCTGTGAGCAGCCCTGTGGTTTTCTCCTCTGAATCCCACCAGTGAGTGCCTTTTTGTTTTGTTTATCTGCATGGGTCTGGGTAAGCACTTGCCACCCCACTGCAGATGAAAGCATAATGGAAAGTCCAACACCACAGAAATAATTGCTGCAGCAGGATTTCATCTTTACCCCCCAAAGGAGATAATTTATGTTTTTTTTAGTCTCTAGTCCTATTTATTTTCAAAAACAAGTCCTGCTGTTTATTTCTGTAGTCCAGCTTCCCCCCATCCTACAACTACATCCTTCACTTTGCGGCGCCACAGATGTGGTGGGGTTTGTCAGGGAGGGAGGCAGGAGCAAATTGCATTTCCATGCTGCTGGGCCTCCCCTGAGCTCCCTCCTCTCTGTGCAGCAAGAGGGAATGCTTCCAGAACAGCCTTCAGGGGAGTAGCTGCAAGTGAAAGATTTGAGCTGGCATTCAGATTACTTTGGATGTCAGAAAGCTTGTCTTGGACCTGTTGAAATCCGTTGTTTCTGCCAACCTTGGGAAAAAATAAACTATAGAGAATATGCTCTCAGTGACTTCTTAGCACTGCTTAAATTTTACCTTGTGTTTCCCTCTTTGTCCTCATTAGTACCACTCCCCAGCCTCCAAAACCCTGACACTGGTGCTGTTTTTCTGCTTTTCCTAGCCATGGGAATTAGGAACTCTCTTTGTGTGCTGCTGTGGTTTCATGTGTCTCAAGAGGAATTCCCCAGCCCAAGCAGATTGTTTGTTAGTAACCTCTGAATGAACTTTATTCTAAAACTTTTTCATTCTCCTTCCAGATCCAAAATGCCCTGGGGATGTGGATCTCCAGAGTGGGGACTGGGACATCAAGACCATTACCAGCTCACTGAAGTTCTATCTCAGGTGGCACTGCAGGTCACACCTGCCCCAGGGAGGCAAAGGGGACTGGGGCTGACCCAGATGAAAGCTGAAATGACCTGCCAGATATTCACATCTGGCTGTGGAAAAGGACAAAGTGACAAAGGCTTTGGGAAGAAGGATGATGAATATGGATGTTGCAGAATCCCTCAATCCCTTGGGGAGGGCTCTTTCACTGTTATTGACTGCAGAAGGAAATGCCACTGGGACTTGGTGGCACTGAGGGATGAGCCAATTTGCCCATTGGTCCAAGATGGTCACAAGTGGGTCACAGTGCCCTGCAGAGCTGAGTTTTCTTTCTGGTTGTTGCAGGAACCTGTCTGAACCCGTCATGACGTACAAGCTCCACAAAGAGCTGGTCCTGGCTGCCAGTAAGTCCCACAGCTTCCCCACTGATGGTCCCTGGCCCTGCTCTCCCCAGCCAGGGTCCATCAAAGTCACTTGGCAGAGCTCTGCCAGCCCAGCTCTGTGGTGTCCCACTGCTTCAGCTGTAGAGAGAGCAGAGCTGTCTTCTCCAAGTGCTTTTCTGTGCAGGGGATATGGTGCTGGATGTTTCCTTCTCTCCTTTGCTCCTTCCCTCAGACAGGGTCTGTGGTCTCAGAGGGTCTGGAGAGCCAGAGGATGTCACTCACTTGAGAGCAGCCACGAGATTTGTTTCTCTCTAGGATTGATATATTTATTTTAAAACCTGTGCGGGAATGGGATGTGCTGTTGCCCCCCAGATAAGCAGGTATTCCCTTTAGGTTGTGAAATTTGTCCTGGGATGTTGAAAACAGCACATGGAAGGCATTTCTCTGCTGTAGCTGTTGGGATTGAGTCACAGTTGGGACTAACAGAGGTCAGCCAAGAAGCTGCTCTGTGGCTGTCACCTCATTGTGGCCACTGCAGATAAGCTGTGACAGCTGTGAGCCAGTGTCCTGTGAGACAGAGAGCATAATGAGGGTCATCACCCTCGGCATGGGAATGCTGGCATTTGGAAATGTGTGGGATTACAGCATCCCTCATCCCATTGTGCCTCCACAAGTCACAGGGAGACTGGGAGGGATGCCCACTTCTTCTTCATGCGTCCCTCTGGAGAATGAATAACACCCATTTTTCTTGGAAAGGGAAATGTTCCACCTCTTGCTGAAGGTAGTCAAGCCCAGGATTTATTATTTTCAGAGCTGGTTAAGCCCCTGATGGCTGGGTGTGACAGGACATTCATCCTTTCCCTGCCCTCCCTCAGGAACTTGCACCACTGAGCTTCCCAGCCACCCAGACCCCACACTATTCTTTTCACACAGAGTATTTTATTGTTTCCTGATTATTTATTCTTCTAAGGATGACCTCTTTGGGTCAGGGACTCAGGTTTATTCCCTGTGGGATATTTTTAGGTGCTGTTCAGTGTCAGAGCTCTCTGGGCTCATAGACTCCCAGAGGGAAGCTGTGTGCTGCCAGGTGTGTGGAACAAGGGTGTGAAGGGGAGGACCTGCCCGTGCCCAGCCTCTTTTGGAGTGTGCCTTTGGGCTCCCTTTCAAGCTCCATTTCTTCCTCTTTCCACTTCATGTTGTTTCTCACAGTATTCATCCTGTTGCTGTGAAATCTCACTTCCCTTCCCTTTTGCTCCCATGCTGCACAGGGAACAGCTTCCACAGGTTTCCTTTGGCTTTATATTTCTCTGGTGTATTTAGTTTGAAAGTGTTGGGTACAAATTCTTCTTTGTGTTGCTGCTTTCCAGAGTCTGAGAACCTGGATTACAGGCTGGGAGCCATTCATGCACTGGTCTATAAACTGCCTGACAAGAACAGGGAGATGTTAGAACTCCTCATCCAGCACCTTGTCAAGTAAGCAGATGTTTTCCTCTAAAACCAACGAAAGGGGAATAATGGAATCAGCACAATGAGCCTTTTTGGGAGGTCGGGTTTGCAAAATTTTACCTGCTGTAGTCCCCTTGTGAATTTCCATGTGGATTGCACAAAGGGGGTGACTCTCCTTGCTGCCCTCTGCATGGAGTGATGCTTCTCTTTCTGGTGGTTCCTTCCATCCTCTTTCACATATGCACAGAGCAGCAAATGATTTAAAAATAAAAATACTCTCTGAGAGCAGGGGCTGTAAACTGTCACCTCTCAGAAATTTATTGGAAACCACCATAGTGTGCTCCCTAAATTCAGTTCTCTTCCTTCAGAAGGAAAGAAAATTAAAGCCAGAAGTCAGTTGTGGATAAAAAGGATATAGGATTTAAATGATTGCTTTTGTGCATATGTTGTGCAGATGACTTTTGATTGCAGAGTTAAAGAGGAGCTCGGAGTGGGAAGAGATCAAATGAAGATGCTGTCAGCACATTGCTCTCTCCAGCATCTGCCTGAGCCAAATGTGTGTGTCAGACCTAAAGCCATGTTTGTCACTGCTGGAAAACAAATTCTGAAACACAATGAAGAAAATCGAATTACTGATTCTTAGTGTATCCTGGGTTTTGGGTTTTTTTTTTTTGTTTTTTTGGTTTTTTTTCCTTGGAATAAGACCTGTTTGGAAAAAACCAAACCAAACTCTGTTTCCCTTCCCCTGCCCCTGCAGTGTGTGTGAGCACAGCCGGGAGAATCTGATGTCACCGTCCAACATGGGGGTGATCTTCGGGCCCACCCTGATGCGAGCACAGGAGGACACCGTGGCAGCCATGATGAACATCAAGTTCCAAAACATCGTGGTCGAGATCCTGATCGAGCACTTTGGGAAGGTACAGGGCAGCCCCGGAGCAGCCCCCAAGCAGCCCCGGCTGCTCTGCCTGCTCCTGCAGACTGTTGCTGTGGCAACACGGCAGCTCCGGCTCCTTCTGGAGCCTCCTTGGGCTGGCTTTATGTAACACTCTGCTCTGAAAGGCTTCAGGAGGAAGCAAAGAGTAGCAGGTGTGTGTTCCTCAATGTTGCTGTTATCTGGTCCCAGAGGAAACAGTGAGTCTGGGCATTTTTGCCTTTTCTTTTTAAACAAGGGGAAAAAAACCTATTGTATGACTGCTCATTACAGGGCTTCACTCTTTCCTTTGCTAGACAGGAGCTAGGCCAGAGGAGAATTGGTTTTAATGGGCACAGTCCAAGATGAGATACTGCACAACTGTTAAATCAGTGGAAAAAAAACTAGAGCAGACAAGTGTTGAATGGTTGATGAAAGTAATTCAGCTGTGGTTGTGTTCAGATACAGACACAGGGATGGTGTGGAGATGGAATGGGGAGTCTGAAGGAGATGCTCCCTGGACTGAGGGGTAGTCTGAGGGAGCTGCTGCCTGGGGTGGAGCTTTCAGAGGAGCTGAGGCTGGTGCCCATGTCCCTAGGCCATGCTCTCACACGACTGAGCATCTCATCTGCCCTCCATGGATTTGCTCTGGGTATTCATATTTCAGCCTGAGCATCGCCCGTGTGCCCAGCCAGGCTCTGATTGCTGGGGTGGTGCTGAAGATGCACGTGCAGACAGCAGCTTTGTCATGTGTGCCTTTGGAGAGCAGAGTGTTCCACTGTGGCTGTGCTCACACCTTGCTCTCCGATACCTGACACTGTCTCAGGGGTGTCAGGTGGCTGAGGGATGACAGGAGCTGGGTGTTAATATTGAAAACTGGAGCAGCTTGTGCATCCAGAGCAGCAGATCCTGAGCAGGGAGCAGATTCCTGCCCTGGGAACAGCCCTGGGTTCCAAGGATTGAGTTTGGTTCTCCAGCTTTTCACAGCAGAGTACACAGTGTCCAAACCTCTCTCATGGAGCTGTTCATTCAGGGATGCTGTTTGCTGTGACGGGCTGGGGCAGCTCCCAGCATACAGGGCAGCATATGGGCAGGGGGAAAGCTCCCTTTGGAAAGGGAAGAGGCAGCCAAAGCTGGAACAGCAAGGTTCTTGCAACAGGGATGTGGAGACAGAGCAACCAGGTGGGGACCACAGAGGGGTGTGGGACCAGATGAGGGGGTGGGAGTTGGCTGTGATGCCAAGGATTGAAATGGGATGGAAGAGCTCAGACAGGCTTCTGAGTACCCAGAGTAGAAGCTCATGGAAACACCAGCCAGTTCCTTTGTAGGTCTCTGAACACTTGTAATAAGTTCCCACAGAAAAACAGGAACTGGTTTTTGTCTGGGATCTCACATGCTTGCTCCAGAGATGGGGCTCTGTGCTCCCCTCATTACAGCCTGCAGCACAGTCTGAATCAACACACCCTGCCACCTCTGAGAGCTGGCATGACAGCTTTAATTAAATCAGATGTCCTTTTGCTTGCTTTTAATTTCTTCAGCAATAAGGTTTAGTTAGTCACATTTATTGGATTGAGTGTATAAGTTCAGTGTTGGAGCTGACAGAGTCTTCAGCTCACACATGAGCAAACAGCTCAAATGAGACTTGGAGGAAGAGGGGATGTGGGTTATATGGTGCAATCTGAAGACTCTGAGGACAGAGTAACTATTCATGAAGTGTTTGTGGATAATTGCTGTTTCCACAGCTCATGTTTCAATGCTGTGGTTCAATTAAATAGGTTGATTGTTCTGGAAACACCTTCTTCCCTGTACAGACCTCCTTAAGGTGAGGGTCTGTCAATATCTTTGTACATTTATGTTATTTAACTTGATTTTCAATTAGAAGTAAATCAGAGCCTGCACCCACCTCTTGAACACAGTCATTTGTGGTTGGTTTAGCTTGGGTTTCAGGTGTTGAAAGCAGTATTCTTTGGTACCTGTATAAGTGTCCATGGGGAGCTTAATGTTTCTTTTAAAAGCAGGATTGGATTCTACTCAGGATAGAGGAATGAGGTTGATATTTCCAAAAAATTTCCCTCCTACAGGCAATCCTCTGCTGATTTAATAATATACAAGCTGCTTTTAATTCATGTGCTGCTATGTCACAGCAAGAGAGTACTCCAGAACTCCAGACCTTGTGTTTTGGAGCAGGGAATGTGTCTTGCCCCTGCCCAGGGCAGAGCCCAGCAGGCAGTGAGCCAGCACCCGCCCTGTGTCACCAAACCCTGAGTGTGGGGGTTTTTTCCCAGAGTGGGTGTGTAATCTTCCCTCTCTGGAGATATTCCAGAACTGTCTGGACACAATCCTGGGCCATTTGCTCCTTAGGGAAACCCTGCTTGAGCAGGGAGGATGGACCAGATGAGCCACTGTGGGCCCTTCCAGCCTGAACCATTCTGTCATTCTGTGTTGTTTCTCCTCTCCTCATGCAGATTGGACCAGGCTGTTGGGAGCAAAGCCTGGATCTGGCACATGGATTTATCCAAAGCCAGCCAGGCTGGGCCAGAGCAGCCTGACCGTGGGGTGTGGGAGCTGTCTGCCACTGCCAGCCCTCCCCAGGCACACACTTGGGACCAAGAAATTTAAACCAGGGACATGTTTTCCTCTCCCATCCCCCATCTTGGTCTCCTAGCCCTGCTCTTTGGCCCAGAGAAGAAGGAATACATTTTTGGTTTGAATTACCAAAATGAGACATTTAATCAAAGCAGAATGTCACACTTCTTCATGGTAAGAATTTTCTGAGTGATGCAATTAGGCTGTTTTTTTTTTTATGGGCCATATTGAAGTGTGGGCCCAAGGGTGTGGTGACCCAGCATGCCAGTGGGGCTGGCACAGCTCTCCTCCTCTGGGCTGGAGCCAGGAATGGTCCAGCTCCACATCTCCCAGGACAGGCAGTGCAGCCTCTGGGTTCAGCAGCTCAGGCCACCTCTCCACAGTAACTCAGGCTTTAAAGCCTGATAAAACTTCAATTAACATCCCTGGGAAGAGCAGAGGAGCAACTGCTGTGGGCCTTGATGGGGTATTTCAGCTCTTCAGATTTATTTCTTTTTCAGCTCTTATAAAAGCCCTGACATAAATGAGAACCTCTCAATTAATCCCAACTAAATAGGTGCCACATTACCAGTGAGAAAAGGAGATAAAACTTCTCAGTAGCGTTGCTTTTATGCCAGTATTCCATCCCAGGTAATTTCCTGGTGCCAAATGTGTCACTGTAAACCAAGAGCTGAAGGGTTTTAGTGTTAGATCTGGAACAATGCAGGGTTGGTTTGGGTGATTCAGGGATTGTATCTCTGTGACAATGGGAATCTTGCTGTTGGTCAGGAGCTGTCAGCTCCAAAGCCTCCCTCATCTGCTCCAGGGGAATTTGCTTCTACAAATTGTTTGTGATCTTCTTGCTGAGCTGCAGGGACAGTGACAGTGGTGGGAATGATGTCGTGGTGGGGACAGTGTCAATTGTGGGACCATGTGAGTGGTGGGGACAGTGTCATTGGTGGCCTCCATCACTCTCTGTGCTATGTGGAGACACCTGCAGAAGAAGGTGGGGCAGCAGCCCCTTTGTGTTGGGTCACCTGAATGTGTCTCCCTTTACAGATCTACTCTGGCCCCCCAGAAGACACCACAGCCCCCCCAGTGCCCCCACCGAGGGTGGCTGCCCGGCGGCACAAGCCCATCACCATCTCCAAGCGTCCCCTGAGGGAAAGACCTGTCTTCTTCAATGCCTCTGTGGAGGAGAGTGCAGGTCAGTCTGGCTGTTCCTTGATTCCTTACCTGCTTCTCACCCCTCCTGCTTTCTGTGACACCTTTCCAGGAGCAATGGAGGTAACAGCAGCAGGGCTGCACTTTCCAGGTCCTGGACATGGCAGGCAGTGAGGGCTGCTCAGAGAGAAAGGAAAGCCAAAACCTCTCATACATTATTTGCATCATGTCACAAGTCAGATTTTGTGGGATTTGGGTTTTTCTGCTACCTGCTGCATGCTCCATTAGCTAAACTAAGGCTGATTCTTAGCACAGGAGAGACCCAGAGGAGAGGTTTTGTGGCATCAGAGGCAAAAACACCTGCATGGAGTGTTGGTGGGACGGTAGCCAGGGAGGGTTGTGCTGCAGGAGGCCCAAGGAGGTCAAGCTGGCTCAGCTGCTGGCAGTTCCACATCCAGAGCAAGAATTCCAAAGAACTTTTTCAGGATGCAGTGAAGGTATTTCCTAGACCAAGTTCTACTCTGACATTACCATAACAGCTTCGGGATTTCCTTACAGTCAGCTGGATTAACAGCAAAGGACGCATCACCTTAAAATTATATTTCTGCAACCTGATTTGCTCTAGTTGTCACTGCAGGCTGTGCCCTGATTCCACAGTCACCAAAGAGATGGAAAGTCTCTTTCTCCATTAGTTTTCAGAGCTGTGATGATGTTTAGGTGTAAAGTGTACTTTGTGACACTGGCAGAACATGATTGATTCACATTGCTCTTTAAAACTCCCAGACTGCTAATGGAGTTGGGGCTGGCCTTGCATTTCAATGCTTCCTCGACCTGTGAGCAGAAGCATTTGTTCACCTTGGCCTGCCCCGAGGCTGCAGGGAGCAGTCAGGTTCACAGCAGAGCCCCTGCTTGCTCCTGGTTCTGCAGCACAGCAACAGGGCTGGGATGAGTGGCTTTTGGAGGCACACCAAGTGCAGTACAGACCTAACCCCACAGCTCTGTGCTCTCTTGTCTCCGCAGCAGAGAGGCTCAGCCAGACCCCCAATGGTGGCGGCGTGGAGGCCCCCAAGCCCCTGCACCGCAGCCGCCTGCCCGCGCCCCGGCCCGGGGGGGACGAGCTGGGGCGTTCCCCTGCCGAGAGCCGGCCCCAGCCCCGTGCTGAGCCCGAGCTGGGCAAGCTGGGCATGGGGAAAGGGCTGCAGGATGGAGGGGCCAAGGCAGCTGGGAGGGCGGCCAACGGCGTGGTGACCAGCCCTACCCTGAGGACTGCCACGCTGCAGGCCAGGAGACCGGCACCCCGGCCGGGCATCTGTGGCAGAGAGGGTGAGTGTGCACTGGAGCCTGGCCAGAGCCAGGCAAGTGCCCAAGTCAGCCCTCCCTGGGCACGTGGTGGCCTCTACCCTTGAGTCCTCTCAGTGTAGTTCAGCAGGAGTGGCTGGGAGTCCCGAACAGCCTAAGGTGTGGGCACAGGTAAAGTCTGGCACTCATTCCTTGTTGACTTGATTCTTAAAGACTTTGAAGGGTTAAGTGAATAGTAAGGTTGGCTGGATCTTGGGGAAGAAAAGAAGCTGAGGAGAGGACAGGTAGCGTCCAGTGTCCAGAATGAAAGCTCAGCTGCAGGAATCACCAGTTTATGCTGTTCCTCTCCCATTCACAGAGCAGCACTGCACAGGGTTTGGTTAAGAACACTTGTGATTCCCAGGAAGTATCAGCTTCACAGTCAGCAACTGCATTGAGTTTGTCCTTGCAGGTCCAGGTCCAGCCCCTGTTACCAGTGCCAGGAAAGCTTTTCTGGGACAGGTAGTGTGGGAACTTCATTCCCTGGACTCTGTCCCTCTATTCTCGCTATTGGGCACTGTCAGTGAGAGAGTGTTGAGGCAAAGGGGCAGAACTAAACCATGGACCTATTCAGTGCCCCTTCATGAATATCTGGTCTCTGCCAGAGCTTCCTGCTCAGTGTTTGTTATCTCCATCCCTGCAGGTGACTGTGACAGTGTCCCTAAGCCACGTTCCCATGGTGATAAGCCTGTGATAACACGTCCCCCTGTGAGACCTCCGGATCCACCGTGCCGGACTCCCATCCCTCCAAAGCTGGAGCAGAGGCCAGATCTGATAGCAGGGACAGCAGAGGAGATGCCCTCATCTGTGTAAGCCAGCAGCCCATGGAGGGTGCTTGGTGCTGGTGGGGACACTCGGGGGCTCAGTGGCTGGAGCTTGTGGATGTTCCCTTGGCACTGGTGCAAGTGCAGGTTTGAATGTCACTTGGAAATCTGAGCAGAGGGCACGGCCAAAGACGGGAATGGTGCCACAGTGAAGGCAAACAAGAAGCTTTGGACCTGCTCAAGCACAGCCCAAGGGCTGAGCCTTGCCCCATCCCCTTCCCTGCTGTTCCTGGGTCGGTGGAGCTGAGCCCCTCCCTGCCTGCCTCCAGCAAACCTCTCAAACGAGACACTTTCTGGGGCAGGACAAGATCCAGCTTGGATCTTAAGGAAACTGGGTGGAGTTCAGCTTCATCTCATCCTCAGATTTCTTTCAGATTTTAAGAGAGTCAGAAACCCTTCTGGCTTTAGTGGGAATTAACCTAAAGAAAACAAAAGGTGCCATGAGGGTCAGCTCTGTCAGAACTGCTTTAATTCCTTCTCTGGGATAATGTAATTTCTCTTTCTTGAGCATACGTGGGAGCACATGAACACTGAAGGAAAGACCATAAAGGGCATGGATGCACATTGGATTATAGGCAAGAGCACAGAAATAATGACTGGATGTGGAACTTGGTGCTATGTTTTAGTTGGTGTGGTGATATTTGGTCAAAGGTTAGACTCCATGATCTTGGGGATGTTTCCCAGCCTAAATGATTCCATGATTCCATGGTTCTATAAGCAGCCCAGCCAAAGCACTGGCAGGTGGTGTGCGGGTGGAGCGAGCACAGAAGGAGCCCGGCTATGCCTTGGCACAAGACCTGTCAGTTGAAGGTGATCTCTGCAGTGCTGCCAATGCTGCAGCTCATCCCCCTGGCACAGAGCAGATCTCATTAGCAACTTGCCAGGTCGAATCAGGAGAGACTTCTCCTGTTTTCTTTGCAGGGTGGCCTCTAGGACCAAGTTCTTTGAGACGGCATCCCGAAGAACAGGCAGGTAAGGCTGGCACGGGAAAGGTTCTGTGTGGAGAGCAGTGGCTCTGCAGCACAGGGTGCTCCCTCTGAGGCACAGCCAGCACAGACAGCCCCAGCCCCAGGCCTGCCTTGTCTTGTACTCACAAACAGCAGATGGGGCTCAGCTAAAATGCTGAAACTAAACAAAGAGCACAAAGCATAAAATGTGAGTCCAGATACAGACTTGATAAATTAAATCTGCCGAGCAAGAAACATCCCTATGGATCCCTGTTACCAGGTGTGTGGATCTGTGTGGTGTAGTGCCCATTGTACTCAGGCTTTGTGGGAAGATCAGGTCATGGGTGAGGTGATGAGGGCTGGTTAGGTCCCAGCAGCTGCCAAGAGAGCATGGCTGGTCCAGTCCAGGGGGTGTGCAGACAGGGAGCCAGGGGGTTATGGGGACAGTGTGGGCAGAGCCCTCAACTCTGAGTGGCAGCAGGTTCCATTTGTGATATTTGTCCAAATAAGCCTCAGCTTCCTGCCTTGAAAAGCTGCCAATCTCTGCCCAGGAGAGAGCAGGTTTGTGTGTAAGTCTGAGAGCTGCTGCTGCAGGTACTGAGAGAAAACATTTGTGCTATTGCAAAACAGACCCCTCCCTGCCCTTACCCAGCCTCGAGGAGCTTGTGGAGCTGAGTTGGAGCTTGCTCCTTGCACTCATTGTTTCTCTATTCTTCTACTTCCTTTTATGCAGTTCTTCATCACCACAAGGCAGGATCCCAAGTGATGAGAGCTGAGGCTAAAGGTATGTGTTTATGACAACAAATTGAATAATAAACTGAAAGCAGACATGTAAGACAAATCACCATTTATGGGGTTTTTGGAGGGAACAAACAAATTATGTGGGATTCCAGTGGTTCTGCCATTACTGGTGGGTTTGCATTGCTGCACAGAACATGGAGCTTGTTTTCTTCTTCCAGGCTTTGTAAGCACACCTCAGCCCAGCTGGACCCAGGAGACTTTCTGTGCTTGTGACCCAGGAGTCAGAACTGAGCCTTGCCAGCCCCAGTGCCCTGGAGAGCAGCTATCTTACTGGACGATGATTTCCAAGCCACAAGTGGCCCAAGAAATTAGGAGAGGGAGACCACGATGGAAAGCAGGTCCTGCCCACACATCTGTGTTGAACTGTTCCCTGCCCTCCCACCTCTCCTCCCTCTTCTCTCCTGTGTGTGCCATGCAGGTGATGGCAGCATGGGCAGGGCTGGGGGACACAGACCACCTGTGGAAGGGACAGTGGAGCCCCTGTTCACCTGCACACTTTTGGGAAACACACCTTGAAAAGGGTGTTTGGACAGCACAAGGGCTGAGTCCCTCTGTTTGGATGCAAGGGCAAAACAGCTGCAGTCCCCCCTTGCCCTGCTTGCCCTGAGAAGCCCCTTCCTTTGTGCTTGTGTCCCTCACTTGGTGAGTGTCAGTGTGTGGGACAGCTGTGCCTGTTAACGCTGCCCATGGTGACAAAAGCTGGGCAGGGATGGAGGAATCGCTGTGCTCTGCTCTGTGGGATGTCTCCTCATCTCCTCCTGGACATCCCTGGCCTGGGACACTACACTGACAGAGAGGCTTGGCCAGGGGCTTGGCCTGAGCCATGGCCACAGCCTTGCCTGGGATCAGCTCTCAGGCAGCACCCCTGGGTCAGCAGCCTCCAAGGGTGCAGCTGGGGGAGGGGGGCAGCAGGTGCTCCTCCTCTTCCTCCACTGCCTCCTCTTCCATGAGCCACACTCCCACCAGATCCACTTCTCACAGGCCCACCTAGAAGTCTCCATCCTGGGTGATTGTGGTGGCCAGCAAAGAGGTGCTGAGGATCTGAAACTCACTGTTTGTGGGTCAAACCCATTGTTTGGTTTTTTTTTTTAAGAACTGCCCAGTTTGTTGTTTGCTTGTTTATTCATTTCCTGTACAAGATGCCCAGCCTGTCCCTCAGCCATGGCCCTGTGGATGATGCCCATTGGCCCAGGAGATGTCCCTGGCCAGGACCTCTGTAGCGCTAGAAGCTTGTCTGTTGCTCCAGCTGCCACCAGGGCTGTGCATGGCAGAGAGCTATTTCCCTGCTTCCTCCATCTGCCCAAAGATGACTCCCTCCTTTTGAATGATTTTCTTTAGGTGCTGAGAGCCTTTGCAAACCAGTGGCCAAACATTCCCACAGCTGCTTCCCAGGTGCTCCATTCCCTGGAGCATGGTGTCCTGCCTGGTGCAGGTCCTTCCCACCTCCTGGCACTTTGCCTCTGTGTGACCTCGTGTCTCTTATTGCTGAATGGCACACAGCTCACGTGTGTCGTGTCCATGGTGCTCTCACTCCCTTGGCTTCAGCAGTGCCCCAGCTGCTCCCTCCTTTAGGCCTGGCACCTGAAAGTGGCTTTAAAACCAAACCAGCCCTGTGCTGTGGCAGCTGAGGCTGTGCCACATGCACTGGCAGCCCCTGGGGCTGTGCTGGGCCCCTTCTGCTTCAGCCCCTCACCAGGGGCTCAAGGACAAGGCACAGGGGTTCTGATCAGGGATCTTTGAACAGGAATGGAGCTGAAACTGGAGCCAGCTGCTCTGACCAGCTTGGCAGTGGGGCCACCTGCCTGCAGCACATCACCCCCTTGCCCTGCTGGGGTGTTGGGCCTGTGGCTCCTACACAAAAGGCCAGCATTTCCCTACTGTTTTTCTTGCTTTGGGACACTGTCTGGGGACCCCTTGAGCCTGTCAGTTTGGGAAACTCCTTGGGTTGTGCTGATGCACATGGCTCTGGAGGTGACATTCTGCGGGAGCAGTGGCTTGTCACATCCTCCTCCTGCTTGTGCCCACTACCCAGCACAGACCCCAGGACAGAGCTGGGCTCCATGGATAGGGAGAATCCAAGGGTGGCTGGGTTTCAGTCTGACAGTGTGAGCAGTGGGGAGAGGCAGCTTCTTGCAGACTATTTCATGGTGTCCTTATAAAGTTCTTTGTCACTTGTATGTCTGTGCTGATTTTTCCTGCACCCGTGGGTGCAGCTGAACACTGGGGACCAGCAGTTGGAGCAGTGGGGATGCTGGTTGTGCTGGCAGCGGGCTGTGAAGTCCAATTCCTGCTGCTGTGAGACCCACTCCCTGCTGCTGTGAGCACAGTCCCTGCTGCCAGTGGCCCAGGAGGGACAGCTGGGAATGTGGGATCATCCTTTGCAGCATGGCAGCCCCCAGCATCAGCCCTGGAGCCATTGTGATGTGTACAAGCTTAGGTTACTGCAAGTGTTTATAAAGTTTCTATGAAGTGAAACAACCATGTTGGTGTGTTTTGTTCCTCTTCACCCTGAGCCCAAGTGCTGCCCCCACTCTGCCCCCTCTGCAGGCAGGCCCTGCTGTGGGACCCAGCTCTGTGCCCCAGGGAGGCCACACAGGGCTGTGTCCGTGGGATTGGGAGTGCCCTGGGCTCTGCCATGGCCCCACTCTGGGTTTGCAGTCCCCAAATCTGGTTTTCTGCATTTTTCTGACTGGAGAATATGCGCTGCCAAGGCTGAATATTCCTGCGCTGCCACAGTGCCTGGACAGCATTCTGTGCCATGGGTCACCAAGAATCCACTTTTCCTGTGACTAATGGCTTTTTTCCATCTATCCAGCACTCTTTTCCCCTCCTCACATCTGTTTTCCCCCTCCTTTGACATTGCACACCAATGTTTGCTTTTCAGGCCTCTTGCTTTCCTTTAGCAGTGAACCCTCTCCCAGGGGAGAACAGCTTCTCTCTCTGGCACGGGAATCTTGCAGCCAGCTTTGGAGCCTGCATTTCTGAAGAAACCTGATGGAAGTCACCACTCCAGAGGGTGTTCCTGGGGGCCCAGGGACAGCCAAGCTGCCTCCACAGCCACGAGGGTTCCTAGCTGGAGAAGGGGAGCGTTCCCACCCACACCCTTCTCAGGGCTGCTCTGTGTTTTCGGGATCCTCCTGCAATTACTTTGTGCGGGCCCGGCCCCTGCCCGCGGGCCCTTGGTGCAGCACGGGCCCAGTTTGCCAGGCCAGGTTTGCCAGCTCTGAGAAGTCTGTGCAGGCCAGGTTTGCCAGGCCAGGTTTGCTAGGCCAGATTTGCCAGGCCAGGTTTGCCAGGCCAGGTTTGCCAGCTCTGAGAGGTCTGTGCCAGGCCAGGTTTGCCAGGCCAGGTTTGCTAGGCCAGATTTGCCAGGCCAGGTTTGCCAGGCCAGGTTTGCCAGCTCTGAGAGGTCTGTGCCAGGCCAGGTTTGGCCAGGCCAGGTTTGCCAGCTCTGAGAGGTCTGTGCCAGGCCAGGTTTGCCAGGCCAGGTTTGCCAGCTCCTAGAGCTCTGTGCCAGGCCAGGTTTGCCAGCTCCCAGAGCTCTGTGCCGTGCCCTGGCTCTGGGCCCAAGCAGCCGGAGCACTCCTGAGGCGGGCATGGACACAATGCACCAGGAGCAGCAGCTGGAGGGTTTTCTGCTTGTTTTTTCTGGCTTCTTGTTTCTCTCAAAAGTTTCTTTGTGGGTTTCTAACATTTCCATGGCTGGATGCATTCAAAACAGCGGCATTTGGGGAACGAAACTGTTTCCTTTCCTCACTAGGCCTTGTATTAAGTGATGGTGAACTGGAACAAGCATTGAAGCACTGCCCCAACAATCCTTGTCTGCCAACCCACAGGTGCCTGGCTTGCCTTCTTACAGAAAACATTTGGATTTAATATGAGCAAGAAAATTATTTTCCAGCACAAGTAAAACCTTTCAGGTTTTTATAGAGAGAAGATAACAAAACAATCAGTTCCAAAGCTTGAGCCTGAGTCTCAGTGAGTTCTTCCCAGAGGAAGATTTGAAGAGGCCAAAGACTCTGCAGCAGACACATCTGTGTGATAAATTTAGAATTGAAATATACTTAGTGGAACACTGACATCTGAAATTTATGTGCTACACAGAGACCCATGAAGGCACTGGAATCCACCCACGTGGGATTCCTTGGAGGATCAGAGCCATAGTTTTCAGCTCTGTAGTTCTCCCTGACCCATCCCACTGCACCATTACCCATCTGGATGCTCCGAGCTGGGAGCAGCTCCCTGTGCTGGGCGGGTTCCTGGCAGCCCTTAGCAGGTTTCTTGGCCCGTACACATGGCTCTAAATCAGGTCAGGCCTCCAAAAAATCCTATGATCGGCTTAAACAATCAGGAGACGCTTTGAACCACTAAAGGCCATAATGTTTTCCATTCTCTGTGTTTTCAGAAGTTTAAGAAGTGCTTTAACAGCCTCTGCCAGTGTCTCTAAGAGCTCCCGCAAGGCAGAACTTCTGAAGACTCTTGAAATCCTGTATAATATGGGCCGTGCCCATGAAGGCTCAGAGGAGCAAGTCCCCACAAGCTCCATCCTCCCACAACTCCATCCTTCTTCACTCTGTGTCCTGCACACCCCAGCTCCCTTCAGTGCCTCCCAGAGGCTCTCCTGGTGGCCACCACACCATGCTGCCACACCATGCCACTGCACCCACGCTGCTCCTATGGATGGGACACGGGGCATGCCAAGCAGGCCCTGTTTGCCTCCCCTTGGCACCTGCCCACTGCTGGCAGAGGGAGGCAGCAGCAGTTTTGGGTAAGGAGCAAACCCCAGTGTTGGCTGCTGTCCCTCGTGTCAGGGCACTCGAGTCAGGGTGACCCCACTGAGGTCTGTGGCTGCCACTGGCCCGCCCTGGGAGCACAGGCACAGCCCTGAAACCATGGCAGGCACACAGGGCTGGCTGCCAGCACTGCAGGGTCACAGTGCTGGCACTCCCAGACCCCCAGGGAGGGGAACTGATGAAAGGGCTTTTTGACAACACATCAGTATTTTTGGAAACAGAACTTCTGTTTTAAAAACATCCCAATTTGTGCTATGAGGACAAGAACAAATAAATTACTTTAAAGCATGAGGCCATTTTAGGGTTTTCATGATCTTTCCATGTTTTCAGTTGATTTCTTCATGGTAACTGAACTTTTTCCTGTGAGCTTGGCGTGCTCTTCTGCTGAGGAGCCAAGGCATCTCTAAGGGCAGCTCTGGAACCTGCTGGCATGTGGCTCACCCCCAGTGCTGGCATGGTGGCTGTCACCCTGCTGCCAGGCCCCACAGCTACAGGAATGATCAGGGAGGTCAGCAGCTCCCCTGTGACCTGTAGGTCCTGGTGAGCTGTGCAGGGGGATGCAGGGTATAGGATGTGGGATGCAGGATGTGAACAGAGGTGGCTGGAGCATAGCGAGGCAGAAGGAGTTGAGTGAGGTGAATTTGTCCTTCAGCTTCAGTTCTGACCCAGCAGCCCCCACGTGGTGGCCTCGCTGTCCTCCCACAGACACTGTTCAAGCCACACGAGTTTGGGGCCATCAGAGACCAAGGCTGTAAGCCCAGGATGTGCAGCCACTGAGGGACCAAGTCCCTCATCCCATGAGGCACTGGACCAGTGGCTCCTGAATGTCCTTGGTGTCCAAGTGGCCATTTGGCAGGTGACACTGGGACTGACATGCTGGCACCCAATCTGCCACACCAGCCCTGAGGAGCTGAGGCCCGCTCAGTGTCCATTACGGGGTGAATTTTGAAAATAACACAATAATTTTTCACTGTGACTCAGAGCAAGGGATGGGATCAGGTTCCTTGTGGATGACAAACCCAGGGGTGTTTATTCTCTTGGCACACTGTTCTTCAGCTCACAGGGCACTCTGTGTGGACTGCTGCTGTGCAATTACACACCAGGCATTGCCAGCTATTTGTGGCCCAGCGAGCTTTTTTTTTTTTTATCCAAGCTCTTTGCTTTGTCTCAGTGAATCAAGTCTTGGCCCTGGACAGGATTCACATCTGTGCCTTGAATTAACAAGTGGCTGATAAGCGTCTTCTTTACTACTTGGAGAGCATAGGTCAGTTTTATAAAGACGTTGCAGAAGAATGGATTTACAACTGTTCATAAAGATACCAAAAACAATGACAAGAGCAGGAGGACACTGGCCTTTATTAGCTCCTTGCTTTGAGAAATACATTAATCAACTGAAATTCAATTTAAAAGACCCAAAGAGGAATATATGAAAGGATTAGCCAATTGATATGTAATTGAATTACGA